ATCTATAAGCTTTTCTTTTTTTTTTTTTTTTTTTTGCTGGTTTTGGCATGCCTGGGGTTAAAGATTCACCTTACCTTCCATCAGCAGGAGTCTGGATGAATGTTCAGCATGGATCTCTTAAATGGGCGGTGCTGGGTTACTCTTGGCCCGATGTGCTGAAAGGCTGGTCAGGGGCGTGGGTTTCCCCTCCAGCAGCACCAAAAACATCGCAAAAAAAGTCTCCTCTGACAAGCCTGTGAGATAAGGACAATTAGTGAGCTGGGAGTCCACTTGCCAGGATTAAGAGTCTGTATCCAGGATGCACCCAGCCAGCTCCAGCTCCAGACCCCTAGACCTGTACCTGCAGCTCACCTTCCTGATCATGATGTCCACCTGGTCATGTTTTGGCCACATCGGAGAAAGGAGGGTACTCCCTGTCCCCAGGTCCTCAGGGGTGAAAGGAAGGACTTTGATTCTCCTTGATGTGAACACCAAGAGCCCGGTGAGGACTGTCAGCGAGAACTTTCTTTCTGTGCAGATAGACCCTTCTATCATCCGTGATGGCTGGTTGGACTTCCTAAGGTAAGCTTGCGAGATTGCTGCTACAAGGAACAGAACAGCTCATGTCATGCTATGAAATTGATACTCGATTTCTAAACCATTTCTCAAGGTTGTTGTGTTTTTTTTTTTTTTCTTCTTCCTTTCTTTTTTTTTTTCTTAAAGCAAGTTCTAATGGAGACGAGAACTGGTTTCCATTAAGATGCACATGTTTGCAATGTAAAAAGCATTTCAGAAATTTATCAGTTATGACTGAAGAAAACTCCTCTGCTTTGCACATACCCGACAATTAGAAGCCTTGGCTTTCTAATGCATCTTTGCACGACATAATGACTCGGGGAGGGTCTGGAACACACGTCTGTTCAATAAATTCGATGCGATCTGGGCTTTTGATAAGCAGACTTCTGGAGGATGCCGAAAGCCTTTTGACTTCCACGTACTATTCAGGCTCCTCATAACTCCAAATCCTGTCTTCTCTCTGGCTCCACAAATAAATATTACAAGCCAAAAAGATCTCTCTGCAGCAACTGCAGAAAACATGTGAACTGTAAAAGCAGTTTAAAACCACTTTGATCATTAAACTTACTCGGGGATATAAAATACTACTAAGCAAGATGTGTGCATTCTGCCAGCCTGTCATCTCAGTCAGTGCTGGAGCACAATGCAGGATCACAAGCCCATCATTCCCACAATCTGTAGAAGCATGCACCCTATAAAGTACTTTAGAACTGTAATGTTTCCTGATGTATATATAGAAAAGTTAAGCATGCATTCTTTTAAATTTTTTTGCTGTTTTTGTTGCACTTACTTGTGTGATACATAGGGGGTCATTTACTAAAAGGCTAATAGCCTATTGGCTTTGCAAGGGGATTTGCACTTTGCAGGGGGAGTTGCCCTTATAGTGAATGAGGGGAAGCTCTACTGCCTTTAGTAAATTAACCTCAGTCCATCTATCTATCTATCTATCTATCTATCTATCTATCTATCTATCTATCTATCTATCATGTCTATGGTTTGTTATATATTTTTCAGATACACTGGGGTTGATTTACTAAAAGGCAAATAGACTGTTGATTTGCACTTTGCAGGGGAAGTTTCTCTTATACAGTAGTGAATGAGGTGAAGTGCTACTGACTTCCACTATCTAAGTGCATGCAAAAATATTCATTTTTGTTCTTGCACTTGGACGGTGGAAGTCAGTAGATCTTTACCTCATTCACTAAACTCAGTTTAATAACCAATCACGTGCAAGGAATATTAAAAAGTAATTTTGCTTGCTTAAGATGGTGGAAGTCAAATTCTATATGCAATTAAATACTGTTTTTAGTATTTATCTTTACACATGATTGGTTATTAAACTGAGTTTAGTGAATGAGATGAAGTTCTGCTGACTTCCACCATCCAAGTGCAAGCAAAAAAAGTGTATTTTTGCTTGCACTTGGATGGTGGAAGTCAGCAGAGCTTCATCTCATTCACTAAACGAACACTTCCCTTATAAAGTGCTATTTGCCTTTTAGTAAATAAACCCCAATGTCTCTAAAACATATATACCAAACCATAGACATGATAGATAGATAGATAGATAGATAGATAGATAGATAGACTAGGGTTGATTTACTAAAGGCAAATATGCTGTTGACTTTGCAAGGGAATTTGAACTTTGCAGGGGAGGTTTCCCTTATAGTGAATGAGGTGAAAACTAATTTTTGTAAACAATACCCGATCACATGCAAGGAAATAAAAAGAGTATTTGCACAAGGGAATTTGCACTTTGCAGGGGAAGTTTTCCCTTCATTTAGGGAATGAGGTGAAGCTGTGCTGACTTCCACCATCCAATTACAAGCAAAAATACACTTTTTTTTTATTTTCCTTGCATGTGATCGGGTATTCTTTGCAAAATGAGTTTTCACCTCATTCACTATAAGGGAAACTTCCCTGCAAAATGCAAATTCCCTTGCAAAGTCAACAGCCTATTTACCTTTAGTAAATCAACCCCTTCTATCTATCTATCTATCTATCTATCTATCTATCTATCTATCTATCTATCTATCTATCTATCTATCTATATCTCTTGTCTATGGTTTGGTATATATTTTTAGAGACAGTGGGGTTGATTTATCAAAGGCAAATCAGGTGTTTGCTTTGCAATGGAATTATTATATTATTATTATTATACAGGATTTATATAGCGTCAACAGTTTGCTCAGCACTTTACACTATGAGGAAGACATTACAGTTACAGTACAATTCAAGGCAAGATGGTTAGGAGGGCCCTGACTGCAATTTTGTCTTAGCTTAGTGAATGTGGTGAAAATTCTCTTTGCAAAAGATGCCCAATCATGAGCAAGGAAAATGTTTTAAAATAAACAGTCTTTTTGCTTGCACGTGATTGGATGACGGAAGAGCTTCACCTCATTCCCTAAGCTAAGGGAAATCTTACCTGCAGAGTGCACATTCCCTTGTAAAGTGCTTTTAGTAAATCAACCCCTATGAATCTTATCTGAATGCAGCACAATGTGAAAATTCCCTTGCAAAGTGAACAGAGTATTTGCCTTTAGTAAATCAACCCCTTATAGACACAACTGGGGCTGATCCATACAACTGGAGAGAATGAAATGAGCATAGACCTGAAGTTGTTGCCAATAGAAACTGATTTATTTTATTGATGTGTTAAATACGATTTGCAGTTGGTCAGTGTGGATGAGAATCTCAGCTTCATGCTCATTCTTATCTCAGGTTTTCATTCATCAGCCTTTCATGTGTACAAATACAGGAATATAAGGGAAGTATCAGCTAATACTTTAATTGTGCTTTCCACAATATTAGACATCCTCATGTCTAATATTTAATAATTGAGTCAGTTTTATTCTAGTCCAGGAAAGAACCAATAAGGTCCTGTGGAATTTTTGTTTGTAAATTCTATCACATGTGAAGCAAGACTGCAGTATTATAGAGTAGCATGAAGCAAAGTAAAAATCCCCTTTTTTTTTTTTTATCACTGTGCTACCCTTGGCATGCAACCGCCAGTGTAAAGTCATCAGTTGTGGCTCCTTCTAGCAGAAAGCTGCATAAAGCTGGTATAGGGCTCAGCAGTGCTCTGTGCATGGGCAGGCATTCACAGTGCTTGTACCTGCACTCAGTTTAATGTTACATTAATCCAGGCATTAACAGAGCCTGATGTAACAGGTTACTCCATCCGATTCGTCAACTCCTGCATCTCTAAGGGCTCATCTTGATGCTGGGGTCACATGAGAGGCTTTTCATGCTTTCATTTGCAAGCCTGCAGTTCTGTAGTTCAGATCTTATGCCAAAAAAAAAAATGCTGCATGTATTACTGAATTGGACAGTTTTTTCCTGTCTTCTACACAGGGATGATACAGAGATTATCACTTTAGCGAGTGCGGCCAACAAAAAAGTTCTTGCATGACCCTGCCCATATGGCAGATGCCTTATGTGTGTTAAGTACAGCGCTGTGGATTTGATGGAGATACTGGGGTTGATGTACTGAAGGACTAGAGCATTACTACTTTGAAAAGTGAATTGTCATTTAAATTAGTGAATACAGTAAAAGCAAAAATTCACTTTAACAAAAATACCCAAATGTGTTCAAAGAAAATGAAAAAGAACAGGATTTGTTCACACCTAATTGAATGATGGAAGTCAACACAGCTTCACCTCTACATTTACATTCACATGCGCTACTTCTTTAGTAAATCAACCCCACCGCAGACATGCTGAACTTTGAAATGAATGCTGCCATTGGTGAGTAATAGCTAGTAATAGCTATTAGCTCATCAATGCAATCAATGCTCATCAATAGTAATAGCTAGAAAAATCAGATGTTTTGATGCCTTTTATTTCACTTTCTGATGATTTTGCAATATCGTTGAATGTTGCTGAGGAGCTGCATGGCTCAACGCTGCCTCACTTCTATATACAGATAGTTATTTAACAAGATAGCTTGAGAATGAATGTATCATAACATTGTAAATTAATCTCGGTCCTTAGTCTCGGTGACTATGTTACTCCATCTCTAAATAGTAACATTGCTACATATTCAAGAATCCCTTTTGTAAATGAAAGATTCTCCTTGCTGGTGTTTGAAACAGAAGTAGGTTTGTTGGGTGAGATTGAATGTAAGGCACCCATTTAATGTCACCTTTATGTGACACTTTCACTTAGTGATGTTTGTCTAGCACAATATAACGTCCAACTTCAAACATGTCTGCTATGGCTCAAGTCATATGTAAGAGACATCACAAGAGAAGCCGTCGTGTCATTTGTGATGGAGGCGCCTGCTTGTTGTGGCACAGCAGGTATTATAACATCTACAAAAACTCTTGGCTGTCATAAAAGAACCATAACTGTTTGTTCCGAATGTTAACATAATATATAGCTGTTTGGAATCTCCCTGGGAATTTATGATGTAGCAATGTAATCACTATAACACATGTACAGTATGGGAAGGAGGTCTTCTTTACCAAATACAGTATTGTATTTGTATGAAAGGATCAGAGGGCTAAGAATACACACAGCACTTATATTATGGATGTCTGCTGGTTCACGCTGGTATGGCAGACTTACTGAAATGAGGATCTTGGGTTAAAACCTTACAATGGCCCTAAATGTCAGGGATTTGTATATTTTTGAGTTTCTCTATATCTGACACAATTTAAAACATACTTACAGGTTAAGAGTCTTTTTCCTCTACTGTATTTCCTAATCGCATGACTGTATTAAGGACATCATAATATAATGCCTTTACTGGGGCAGGGATGGAAGGGAATGGCTCAGTGTACTACGTGAGACACCCCACGAAATAACACTTGCGTTATATATAGGAGAATAAAATAGATACCATTTTTTACACACCGTACACTATGGAAAGCAATTTTGTCAGTGCGTTTGCAAATGCAACAGATATGAGGTCCCCATTGCAGATATCGGATTATTTTTTTAAATACGTGTTTATTTAAAATAATTGAGAAAATCTTATTTTATTATTTTTAATATATTAGTAAACA